GCAAGGGATCCTCAGACTGCTTTGTATTTGTTGTTTCAGCGACAAAATTGAAAATTTAACTCCTATATAGTCACATTCCTTCTTCGTTTTAAAAAGTACACCACATCTTTACATGCTTGACCTAATGATATTTAGCTCCTGTCATGACTCCGGGGCCTCCGCGTACGCGAAAACCCAAAATGTGTTGATTTTTTGTCGGGACGTCTGGTGAGGAGATGGTCCTAATCAAAAGGAAACTATGCGCAGTCACTCCAGGAAGGGCTGATGAGAAAGAGGAGGGGAACACTGAAAGGTCTTTCACTGAAACCTGCTCTCTTCCATTTATGAGCCACTCAGGCAGTCCCATCTGCAAGTCAAAGTCAACACTTAGCCTGGGCAATGAATTCATTAGGGGGACTTTGATTTTTGGTTAGTGTTTAAATTAATTAATGTTGCCATTCATACTTCAGACATTTCAACAACCCCCTCTGCCAAGCCTGGTGACCTACATGTGTGCTTATATAAATGATGATGGTGCGTTGTTTTTAAATGGTTGCCTTCAATTTATTTCCTGTTATGTTTTTATTAATTTAATCCTACTAAATACGCAGAATGTTAGCACGTGAAAAATAAAGTTTTTAATAAGATCCATACACTGTAAAAATTATTTGTTCAATAATCCGACTCCGGACAGTATACGTTTTAGGTCACTGTAACTTATTAAAGTTAATTATGTTTTAACTTAATTTTGTAAGTTACGCAAGCTGTTTTAAGTCAGTTTGACATAATATAAGTTCAATTGACTGATAAGGTTACTTAGATTCAGCTTTAAAAATTAAGGCAACCAGGATTTTTTTTTTGTACATTTTGGTCACTCTTTTCCTTGTTACATGTTTTCACTATAGTAATTATGCATAATTCTATGCAAATAAACCATGTAAGTGCAATTGATACTAGTTAAAATAATAGTTACACTGTACACTGTGAGGACACCTTAAAGTAAAGTTCATTCATTAATTTTCCTTCGGTTTGGTCCCTTTATTCATCAGGGGTCGCCACAGCGGATTGAACCGCTACACGTTATCCCACTTTGACTGTGATGCCACTTTTAGATGTGCTGCTATAGATACAACTTGGGTACGAAACGTGTTTGGTGCTAGTAGGACATGTTTATTGGGGTACGGTTTAAAGGAAAGAAGCAGGAACATCAGATGATTTACAAATGCAAATAATTGCGGACATAATTGCATAGAAGCATTTGAAATAAAAGCATAGGTAAAAAAAACATGTACAATGTATGAAATTGATTAATAATGCTAGGTAAATACACAGTGTTACAATGCAATTATTAATTAATTAAATAGTAACATTAAGCTAATTAACAAGAATTACACGGGTTAAACTTAATAGGTTAGCTGATGTAAACATAAATAATTTAGTCATTGCATTTGGCAAACGTTACATGTAACAAGGCACTGTGTTACCCTTTATTTCAATGTGACTATTCATTTACTGAGTAATAGTAATTAATTACATGTACTTTCTATATGGTTGGAGTTAAAATGTGGGCTAGGTTTAGGGATAGTTCAAATACATCTAAGGAATCATTCAAATAAAGTGTTACCAAAATGTGCAAAGTAACAGTGCGACACACGGTGTAGATCTGTTTCTTATCTTCTGCTGGAGTGGCACATCTGACTTGAAATCGCCAATTCATGCCAAAAATGTGTTTAATCGATCAATCTATATGTAGTAAGTGCGCTTAGGTTTTTAAACGTCACGCGTCCCGTCACGCACCATTGACAGACGCAGCTCATTCCCTCATGTCCAATGCGGACTTCTGCTGATGCCCTTGAGCCATTTACCCCGTGTGTATTACTGAGCAAAAACAAAATGTTATTGAACGCACATGCTCTTAAATGTAATAAATGATTAATTAACCTTTTCATTTAGACCTTGTCATCATAATAACACGTACTGCGGGGAATATTAAAATGTGCCGCATGAATTAATCGCGGTGGCTGCCCTCGTGGGCTTTTCTGCATTATATTTTGTAATTAAAAATAAAGAGAGATAGCACATAAATAGACTATAGTAAGTGCGTCTTTTAATGCTGATATTAGCTATTGTAAAAGAAACAAAGACAAGACCAAAGACTATAATATTAAGTATACTGTCAATCATCTAAAGACTAGATTGATTCACAGCATCACCCTAAATTTACTGACATAAAAACTGAATGTGTTTGAATTTTAAACAGACAATAAAGTCGTTCATTATTACAAGAAAACAATATTTTGAATATGTTTGATACTTTCGAGAGCTTTTCCTAAATAATGTAAACGCTAAAAGTCAAGTGAAGGTTTATCAATTGAATTAATATTATTATTATTATTTTATTTTACTTTACACTTTATATTACTTTACCTGTATTGAAAGGATTATTTTTACTGATATCAAATGATGTCTTATTGTTGTTGTATTATTATTATTATTATTATTATTATTATTATTATTATATTTTTCTTTACACTTTATATTACTTTACCTGTATTGAAAATTTATTTTTACTGATATCAAATGTACAATAAATAAATAAACCATTCGTTTTTATGTGCTTAATGTTGTAAAAATATATTACTGTATTTGTTTATTTATTTACACAATGCCTGGACGCAATACTGTATAAAACGATCTGGGAAAAAGCAGATAATTTGATTATCTTTCGCTTTGGCGATTTGAGCACATATCTGTGATGTAGAGAGAGTGGTGTTCTAGCAGACAGAGTGATTGATCACATTATATTAGGGTCGTTTCTGCACTGGGTAATTTTCTTTGCTCGCCTCGGGCGATCTTCACATGTGCGTTTCCATGAATTCTCCAGACCCCGTCTCTTTTCATCTGCGGGGATGACAACAATAACAACGACAACAACTAAATTTACCTTTCCGAGGCGAGATTTCGACAGAAAAGGCACTTAACGCAATTTCTTCCATAGCAATTAATCACACGCGGTTATGAAGATGCGTCATGAAAGCGGGCAAATCATTGTAGTTTAATTAATGAAACATGCCACATGCGGCTTATTCAAGACTTATGATTTATACATATGTATCACAGGGGGTTGTGCTCTACTTCACAGCTGATACGTCACTGTACAACGCATAATATAATGTGTTAAATTAGAAATTCAATATGTTAAATTCAGAGCACACCATGTGAAGAAAATCAATGTTGTTTGATTTTATCCGAAACACCAGAACAGTGACTACTGGCGTAAAAATGCTGATGTGTCTGCAATTAAATTTCTGATATTGTCTTTTCAAGGTTCCATGAAGAACTTTTTTTTTCCACTGACGGATTTTCTTTATTGTGGAAAAAAAAGCTTTTTTTTTGCAACCGAAAAATCTGTTTAGGGACCAAGGTAGTAATAGTAATAGTATAGTAGTTGTAAATAGATTTGAAACCTTTTTTACACCAGCTTATTTTTCTAAAAAATAAATCAAAGGTCATTTTAAATTTCCTCGCAATTACCAATTAGGTAATTCATTATATTGCAAAATGTTTATAGGTCAACTGTGGAGAAGCTTGTGTCGTTGTATATGTTTTGATTGTATTTATGATGTTAGTCTATAGCCAGTGTGTTTGTATAGCTTACCGTTCTGTATTTGCAAGGTGTTTGTAGGTTGAGAATAATTTGTTTGAAGGTTATATATGGCTATTTTGTATCTTTAGATCACGTTTGTAGGTTATGTGTGCATTAAGTAGCCCATGGCGCCCGTATAGTCCTTTGCTTTGAACGAGGGACAACGAAGGAAAAACTCTGTCTAGGATTAGTGGTCAGATTTCCTATTTCCCATACACTCCCAAGGTCTTGAACCCAATTAATGGCTAATAATTACCTAGGGAACTTAACTGTAGTTCGCGGTTTCATTAGCTGTGGTAGACAGACCGGGAGCGCCCTGCGTTATAAAGGCACAGGCTAGCCACCAATCCAAAAGTGCGTGATGGAATGTAGGAGCCTTTTATATGCCTTCATACTGTATATAATGGCCTATATGTTTAAAAGTCAGTTTGTACTTGAGCTTGATTTCAAGCGCAATCTGTAAAGCAGCTTTTGTAAGTGTTCGACACATATTTGTTTTCAATTACCCTGCCTCACCTCTCTATACTCGAAGTGTTTACGGCAACCACCACTTTTGCCTATTTGACAATGTTTTGTTACTACAGCCATAGTACCTTTGCCAATTTTCTGACTCTCCCTCCCTCGCTCTCTCTCCATCACACACACAAGCGCGCGCGCGCGCTTTGTGTGGTAATTCGTGTGCAATGGTAAGAGAGGGAACTAGCCTGAAGCCCCGTCATCAAGAAGTTGTGTTTACTTTGCCATTACATCCACTGTATTAGCATGTAAAGATCAGAGCGTAGCCATAGTTGTCGCAACAAGTGTTTTTTTTCTCCCCGTGTATTCTGACTGTGGGCCACTGCTGGGTGGATATCATTTCACATATTGAGTGTGGTGAGATCCTATCAGTGCGTAACACATAAGCCGAGCCCTTTCCTACCATGAATAAAGATTTGGTTTCACTAGCTTTCGACGAACGTAGTCTATATAGCAATAACAACAGACACTCCCAATCTTATCCATCTATAATCTAATCGGTTTCATTTATCGGAGATTATATATATATATATATATATATATATATATATATATATATATATATATAAAAATTTTCTCCCTTCCTCCCTCTCCCTGGCATATTAATGTAACTATCTATTTCATTTTAAATAGTTATACTTTTTTAATCCAATAAATTAATGGCAAAACTAGACAGTTTCGGATTTTAACGGGGTTACTGTAATCTGTCGTTCTATACAAATAAAACATTAAATATTAATGATAGTAATATTATAATAAGTTCCGTAGGGCCTATTTGTATTAAACATTAATGAAACCATTAAAGTTTGTATAAACATTTTGAAGTGTTTAATCCAACACAATGACAATGAGACAATAGGTGCCTGTATGTATTTTATTTCACTTAATAAAACCCTACTTACAACTGTAGACATATTCAAACAAATAAAATAACAGGGATTTGTTTAGTCTAGTGATTGATATACCCAACTGACAAACCTCTTTATTAAATTATTGATAAAATAAATAAATACAATATATGTTGCTGACATCAGTTCTCAAGGTGGATGTTCTGAGGCCTGGTTTACAGAACACCTCTCTTCCGGGGTTTGGGCCAGCATCCCTCCCTTCCTGCGCTAAACCACAGGAAAATGGCAACAATCTGGAAAGAAAATAGTCCAAATGCGTGGTTACATGGCCGTCACGTTTCCAGGAGCTCGTAAAAAGGCAGACGCTTAAATGACGCAGAAAACTATTCCCCAATGAGCTTGTGATGAGGAGCAACACTTTTCTTTACAACTGTAATTACAGTTAAACGCCTTTACAAAGGTGTTGGTCCTTATGAAGAAAAGAAATTGTCAAGCCCGATGCGTGAGAGATTTTCATTTGAATTAATGTGTAGTGAAAGGACAAAAACCAGCATGTTGTTTTATTGTGGAGTTGAAACAATCTGCGCGCTATAAGATAAATCAGCAGCTGAATTAGCTTTATGCAAAATTGTCTGAATGATAACAATAATAATATTGTCATAGTTTTAACCTCCATAAATTATAATTTATGCATAATGGGGAATATAATGGGCTATCATCTGTCTTATTGTTTCCCGAAGACGTAAAATAATTTCATTCACATGAATTTTATCAACAATATGTTTCGTGTCAAGCGGATATGTCTTGACAAAACGTTTAATACGGAGTCAATCAATAAACCAGTAAATGTCATTTAAGAATGGGGAGCTTAAGATTACTTCTTTAAGAAAAATAAACGGCAGGATTTTATATGAAAATGTTTAAAATTATTTCATTCATAATCAGTTTAGCCTTTTTTAATTCGCCAAAATGAAATGCGAAATTGTGACTTCATTTATAAATGAAATAGGTTGTGGAGTTTGTTTGCACAAAATGCCAGCAATCCACTGTTTAGTTCTCAGAGAAGAAAAATACGCATGAATTAAAAATGTGGTGTTGGGTTACGCGCCTTTTACGGCCTATTACATTATTATGTATATATACATCATTATCTATCATGTCTGAAACAAATAATTAAAAATAATAATAATCATTGCTTTAAACAAATTTTACAGTATTTATAAACAATAATATGCATTGGTTTTAATTTGTCAGCGGCTCAGACTTCAATATCATCTTCAATATAGTGATAAGCTCACACATTATTACCAACGGAAAAGACTGACAGCGACCCTCAAAGTGAGTGCACATGCATTACTGTTAATAGCTGCTTTAAATGCCTTGAAAGACACCTGCTCGATCCCATATTCTCCCACGGGATCTGATGACAAAATGAGATCTGTTTATTGTAGAATAATGGTCTTCTAATGACAAAGAGAAATAATACAGTTTAATGTGACTTCCCAAAAACAAAACAATAAAACAAAACCAACAATATTATTATTATTATTAATAATAATAATAATAATAGCAATAATAATAATAATAATGATAATAATAATAATAATGCCCTAATGTATAATTACAGAATGTGTCAAAAGCGCCAAAAATCAGGTTTTATTATATTTAAAAAATTAAAATAATTCAAATGCAATTTTAATGTCCAAGTTAGCGCAAAATGCTAAAACCATATTATTCCCGATAGTAACTGTCGGCGAAATTCTGACATGTATCGTTTAATAAGTCCAACATATCCGATTTTACGTGCCAACTGCAGAAAATAACTTCAGATGTTGATCCTGCTATTGGACTACCGAAGCATGGTTCTGACAGCACGCATATACAGCCTTTAAGATGACCGGTAAAATACACTGATTGAGCACATGCAAACATGATTGCAGTTCTAATGCTTACAGTAGTCTATACTTTGTTTTACGTGCAAAAAAATAATTTAACAGAATCACGTATACTTACACAAATGAATATCGGTTGCCTTGTCAAACTCTGCCGGGTTTACCTGCACATAAACAGCCTCAACGACGTATAGCGTGGTACATAACCTAATCTAGACCTAAGACTGAAAGTGCATTGTTTCAAAAGAGAGTTAAAATGCATACCTTTTCCGCCCGGATCCCACGCATGCACTCATACTGTATTTCTGCTCTTTCTCCTCACACACACACACGCACACACATACACATATACACACACGCACGCACACACACACACACACACACACACAGAAGCACGCACGCGGGAGCTGCTGGCTGTCTGAGTCTAGCGCGCGCTGACTCGGGTGGCAATAGCAACATTGAAACTGAACACACCTTTTACCTATTTATGGAGCGCACCTAAATTAATAATGTTAATAGTTTTCAGATATATAAATATAAGGCACTCGACAATACTCTTACATCAATGTCAGGGTAAGATTGTTACAATAAAATACAATATTAGAGTTATGCGCAGATGACATTCGTATATATTCTTTTTCAAATAAAACATCAATAATAATAATACTAATAACAATAATAATAACAGTAAATTACATTTTATGCATTTTTTAACGTAATTACACATATTATAACAAAGTTTTTATGCTTTAAATAGTTGCGTATTGATTGGGTGCATGAAATGCTCGTGATTACCTTGCGCGTGAGGGCTGCGACCTTGACCCCGTCCAGGATTCAATGTCCAGTGTGGTACCGGATTCCGCAGGTCCCTGAAAAATAGCACTTATTCCTCTTGGAGGGCTCAAGAAGGGGAGGTGGGGGGCGATCCGAGATGTTGCGGAGCGAGTGGAGGAGGAGGGAAAGAGATAAGTGATCTAAAGGAGACACGATAGGACAAAAAGTGATGATGATGAATACATTGGAAAGTTTTTTGGCCCTGACGAGGGTGTCAGATTGAATGGCCTGTGCGCATGTGCGAAGGTGTCCAAACTGACAATGCTCGTGAGATGAAGATAGCGCTGCTGCTGCTTCTGAGCTCAAGGAGGACGCGAGGAATCTACAAGCCGACAAGATGAGATCCAAGGCGAGGGCGAGAAAACTGGCCAAAAGTAGGTCCTTATTGCGCTTCTTTCGCTCCCGAGCGGCCGCACGGTACTTTGAACCCTTGCGCACATCACCAAAGTGTCATTTTCATTGATCAGTTCCTGCTGAGAGCGCGTCTTTGTCCGGTGCGTTTGTTTTCCAGCTCTCAGTTGCATTGAAATCGCTCAAACTCTCCGTGATCCGCGCGTCCACCCTTTAGACCAGATGCTGCCGTAGTGTGCTTGTTCAGAAGTTTCTCGTTTGTGTGATGGTGCTTTGGCTGAAATGGTCAGGAGAGCGTTTCCACGCCGCGTTGTTTCGCTCTCTTGTTTTAGCGAAGTCGAGAAACCGTAGAGAATTGTTACACGAAAGTTAGCGAAGAGTTGTCGAAAGGGATAGTAACTTTTTTATTGAGTGGTTCCAGGTCTTGTGAAATCATATTCCTGCTTGTTGAAATAGTGGGCGCTCTAGCACTGCTCATGGACCCCAGGACGCACAGAGCGAGCGTGGAGATCTCCTGAGCTTTCAGCCTGCCCACTGGATGCCATGTAGAAGAAGGAATATTAAACAAATACGGACAAATTTCACGTTTATTTTAAATTAGGAGGAATATTTGTGTTGTGAGCTCTGTCGCAGTTCGGTGTGCTTCATCTGCAAATGGCGAATCAATAATGCATAGATGTGTCATACCGAAGAAAACAGACTCAGCTATTTTGTGGACTCTTTCTGAGGCGAGGAAAAGTGTGTAAATCTCCTCTGGATTTAGCGTGATGTCTTTGCTTGTTTGTTTGTTTATTTGTTTGGCTTTCGCTTGTATTCCGACTTGTTAGCATTAGGTATGGTCTAGGAGCTAACTGTTTTCTTACCGAGTGTCCGAGGAATTGTGAGAAGTTTTGCATGCGATTATAGCTTTCAGTGCAATCTGAACATAGTTATTACTTATGCAATTAATTCTAAAAGGCTTTATTACATGTGCCAAATCGCTACATAATAATTAAACATTTAAAACGCTCTTTGAGAATTCTAACGAATTAAATAGCGAGCTATGTGATGACACAACATTTGTTTAATCTGTTTAATTTACCCAAATGTTTTTCTTAACTAAAGAAAAGCCGAGCAAGTCATATGTGGAGTTACAGCAAAAATGCGCGGTTTGATGCTCACCGCAAATGTTTCAGCGAAATTATTTAAGATGTTTACTAAAATATTAAGACATTTTAAGTGTTTTGAACAAATGTAGTTAGGCCTGGTGACCTGTTGATTCAAATTACCGTGCATCCTCAGTTTGTTTCGGGACATAAACCTGGGCCTCGATATTTTAACTTTAAAATGTCTGTTGCACATGAAACGTGTATTGCGATTACTTCCGAGAAAAGGTCAGACTGTCCTTTTTTTCTTGTTATGCTGTTGGTCAAGATTAATTCGGTTTTGGGTTGGAGGTCAATTGCACGACAGCTCTCCTAAGTGTTCAAACAATATATATAAGACTTTATTTAATTTACATTCAAAGTTGGGCTATATTAATTGCAAATATAATGGTTTCATTTTTGTGTTGGAGAATGTTGAGGGCCCTGATTTCAACCCTCAAAAACACAAGCGCTCATTAAAGTGTATTCACATAGCTTATACATTACTCACTTTCTCTTTTTTTAATCAGTGTTCTGCTCTTCCAGATTCATATTCGACATATTTACTTATGGCTACTTTCCATCCGCGTTATCATTTAGTTATAGAGTCAGCGGGTTCCCGTGTTCCAGTTCAGTTCCTCACACATGTATTATGATATTCCTATTTATCTGCATTAATTTTAAGTTATATGTTTAAGGGGGCTTACAGTAATAACAATATTATTATTAAATAATAGTTATTAAAAATATTACTAATATACAGAACGATTTATGATTTTTTAAATGTATTAATTGTTATTAAATATCATATATTTAATATTATAAATAATTTAAATGATTATTATTACTATTGCTCAACAGTTTGCCGTCTCGTAATTATGAAAAGGAATTGCAGGCATAGCCGAGAAGCTTCTTAAATGTGATACATTTTTTAATGAGACATCGACGGCCATGGTTTTATTTATTTTTCACACTTCAATGGTGCCAAATATTAAAGCCACAATTACATTAAATTACGCGATATTAAAATAGGTTAATATGGGATCCATATGAGGTTCAAACCCCCATCTGGCGGCTGGATCATCTGCTAATAGTGCACGAATCAAGAGCCCATAAACGCAGGTACTTACAAGAGCTTGATTTGTAATGTTAGGCCCTTCATTCATTTTTGTTTCGAGGAGCTTTTAAAGCCTTTTGATTGAAAACGAGTATTATGAGGTAAATTAGTACACTTACATGGACACTTTGTTCAAGCTTTACCCTTTGTATAATTATCACACGAGAATCTTAAGCGCAATTTCACAGAGGAATCAGTTTGTCACCGTATTTCGCATGAAACAATCTCTCTTTGTATAATGCGTTTTAACGATTACTAACCCTTTTGCTATTGCATATTTCATATTTTATATACGCTTTAATTCTAAACTGTATTTATAATATTACTGTAACCCATTTTTAAAAAACAATCAGCAGTTTGAGTTACGTTTCCAGCCAATAACCTCAAATGAAGCTCGGCTATGTTCCAAGAAAAAAAGTAGACCGACAATATGCATACAGTAAAATGACGTCACTGAGAACATTTAGATCACTCATAATTAGTAGTGCGAACATACAATGAGGCGTTTAGAATATTTTAATGCAATATAATACATGCATTGGATTTATTTTAGATTGCTAATGCATATGTTTATAATAAATGTATTTAATTTTGACATTTTAGTAACATAGATTTTGTATTTCATGTTAGGGTCACACTCATTTCCCCCCTCCCTTCCCCTAAAATGAGGGTTTTCTTTTCTTCCCCCCCAATGTTCCAATGTTGTTTACATTGTGACTTTAAGGGGAAAAAAGTTGCACATAGAAATAAAATAGCAATGGATAACAAACCAAAAAAAATCTCTTGTGTAGCCTATATTGTATTTTGACAGAAGTAATAAAATCAAGCCACAACACTGTAAAGCAACAATGGAAGCTGTGTGTGATGTCTTGCTAGAAGACACAGCCTGTCAGCACTCAAAACTGCTGCTTTTACAGGCAAAATGGCTGACATTTAGCTTCAAGCTAAAACAAAATATGAGATCTGGCGAGTAGACTAAATAGAGCATGGGCTGTTATATAGATGTATAACTCCTCACACATAAATGTAGAGATTTAGCTTTGTGTTTGATATGAAGTTCTCACTATAAGTGTCACTGAAGTACTGTTCAGAAACAGGTGAGCATATCCTTGCTTTAGCACTGATGGAATAATCCTAATTCAACCACTTTTACCTTGTGTTTGATAATGCTGCAGATTTATTTGTGTGCAAGACTGCACACACACATTCGTCCTCGACGGGAGCTTGTATGGCAGCCTTTGACCAGAGGGTCTGCTTAGTTAACCCCAATCTTGAGCGAGAGGAAAGGTTGATGGGTGGCTTATGGAAACGCACGCAGAGCTGGCACCGTTTCCCACCTGAGCCTGCGCCAATCGCCCTGTGCTTCCCAAAGGTGAGGCGGCTCCAACTCAACCTTGCTCACATTTGTCACACGTCATTCATTCTACTTATTTTACTGTACTGCGCTGTTATTGTTCACTTGTGGCACCTCTTTATGACATCACCGTGACTCGCTCATGGGAGGGCCTTTTCTGCGTGTGGCTAAACACTGTTTCAGCTGTTCTCTGCCACACTATACACCCTTTTTTTCGTTCATCCAATTGCTGGAAAAGTCACTTTTGGACTCTTTTGGCAGTCATGTGCATACCTTAAAGATGACTTTGCCGTGTTTCCTCCCAGCATAATGCATTTTATTTGTTTTTGAAGAAAAACATGGAAATACATATATAAGAAACGTCCCCTTGGCAGTGGAGCAGAGCAGGGTGCAGCATGCAGTAGGGGAAAAGACAGCCATTACAGAACTGTTAAAGCCATGTCTGCGAGAGAGACGTGCTTATCATGTTACAGCCCGGGCTGTCTGCAAATCCTTGGCCGTAGAAGTGGACACTCTAGTGTTTTACTTTTTTTTTTTTTTTTTTTTTAAGGTGTTTGAGTGAACTGTATAGCTCATTTTTTCTTTTTTGTTGTAAATGTCTGTCGAACTCTCTAGGGTAATTTATTTTTGGATGATTTATTTGCTTTATACACTTGAAAAATAGCTACTTGTTCAAACGGTTTATTAATAATGAGCTGAATCAACACAATTCTTGAGTTTTTTCAGGACAGCTTCATTGTTGTAGGTTCAATCAACTTAATTTTGCAAAAACAATGAAGTAAACTTAAACTATTTGTGTTTTAACATGAAGTAATTGTGTGAAACACAGCATTTTTTAGAGTGTAGTTGTTGTTTCTACATTGTAAAAAAAATCTTTCTGCTGACATTTTATTAGTTGAATCAAAGGAACTTTTACAGTTCAATCAGCAAAGTTGAGTTTAAACTCGATTAACTGATTAATATTAATTAAAGCAACCTGAAAAACATTTGATTTCATGAATTTTTGTCATGTTTTTTTTTACAGTGTATGTTTATTCAATAATTATTGTGTTCATTTTGGTTTAGCAATGTTAAACTTTGTATACCTTAAAAAACTGAGTTGAAACTCGATAACTGATTAATATTAGTTGAAGCAACCTGAAACGTTTGTTTTCATGACTTTTTGTCATAGTTCTTTAGTATACATTTATTCAGTAATTATTGTATTCATTTTGTTTTAGCATCGTTAAACTTTGTATAACTTAAAAAATTTAGTTAAAACTCGATTAACTGATTAATATTAGTCAAAGCAACGTACAACAAACATTTGTTTTCAAGACTTTTTGTCGTATTGTTTTTTTTACAGTGTATGTTTATTCAAAAAGTATTGTATTCATTGTGGATTAGCAATGGTAAACTGTGTATAACTTAAAAAATTTAGTTAAAACTCAATTAGCTGATTAATATTAGTTGAAGCAACCTAAAGCATTTGCTTTCATGACTTTTTCATATCATGTTTTTTTTTACAGTGTATGTTTATTCAATAATTATGATTATAATTATCGCGAATATAATAAACTACTTATTTAAAATGAGTTGAAATAACACGCCTCTAAAGTGTTTTTAGGGACAACTTAATTGTTTTATGTTCAGTCTACTTAAATTTGTAAAATTGATTAATTTATCTTAAACAATTGTGTTGAGACAACATGAAGGAACTGTGTTGAACCCAAGATTTTTTACAGCGTATGCTCTAAAATACTGGATTATTTGGCAACCCAGTGCTGAATAACTTTCATTTATTTTTTGTCATGCTGTTTATTTTCTTTTTAGCTGGGTTTTATAGAACAGCATTAGGCAACTATTGGTCAAATGGTTTCATATTGATAATGATCAAAAATAACGATGAAATATTAAATATATAGATCATTTCAATGTGGTCATTGGCCCATAAACATTTCCTGCTTGTTATCAAACTATTTCATAACTGCAACAACAGGCAATTCAATCCTAACTTCACCTTAAAACAGCTATCATAACATTATTTATCAATATTTGTCTCTTTTTGGATTCTCGAAAGCTATAGAAATTCAAAATGTAAAACAGGAAATATGTTGGGAGCATTGTTTTTGTTTACATCCCTCGACATGGTCTATATTGTAGCGAGCAAAAGTAATGCACATTGGTTTATTTAAATGATCCTAAGAATTTAATGAAACCATTAAAGTATATGTAACTTGTTATTGTGTGAAGGAAACGCTAAAGTTGGTTAAGTGACTAAATTATTAGGTGTAAAAAAAGACATCTACAGATTATGACAGAATGTATTTTTGATTCTAACGCACAGAAAACTACCTTACAGGAAATAAAGTACACACCCTGACTGGAATATAATCAGTTATTAATATTTCTTCGCTTCTCTCGTTTTTGATTAGCAGCCATAACATTGGGCAAATTCTCAGTACAAATGTTTCTTTGCATTTGCACAAATAAAACAAAAATGCCAGCAATCACTATGTACCACTACACAATATGTTTTGAAAAGCTTCATCAAGTTTGGAAACCACTCTATGAAAGATAGACAGTTTATGTATAATTAGTGTTATTCAATGGCTAATGAGTCTTTGACAATCACAAAACGATACACACACACACACACACACACACACACACACACACACACACACACACACACATTATATATATATATATATATATATATATATATATATATATATATATATATATATATATATATATATATATATATATATAAATATATATATATATATATAAATACATATATCACTTTAGTTATTTAGTTATACTTATTCTAAATATTAACTAGTTGTTTATTATTAGCCAATTAAGAAATAGTGGCCGTTTATTGGTACATATAAAGCACATATTCTGCATGATCTCAATCTACCTCTCCAATATCAAATCAAATACCTTAATAACTATTAATAAGCAGCAAATTAGGAGTTTGTTGAGGCAAATTATATAGGTAATGGTTTTATTAATGGCGAGAACTGAGTCTTTGTTACTGGCACTGTAAATAATGATATGACAAAATAGTCATTACAACAAAGGTTTTTATGTTACTTTAACTTGGTTTAATAAGTTAATCAGGTTTTAACACATATGTTTATTATACAGTTGAAGTCAGAATTATTAGCCCACCTGTTTTAATTTTCCCCCAATTGCTGTTTAACAGGGAGCAGATTTTTTTCAACACATTTCTCAACATAATAGTTTTAATAACTGATTTCTTTTATCTTTGTCATGATGACAGCAAATTAAATTTTACTAGATGTTTTTCAAAACACTTCTATACAGCTTAAAGTGACATTTAAAGGCTTAACTGGGTTAATTAGGTTAACTAGGCAGGTTAGGCTAAATAGGCAAGTTATTGTATAGCGATGGTTTGTTCTGTAGGCTATCGGAAAAATATAGCTTAAAGGGGCTAAAAACTTTAATTAAAATGGCTTTTAAAAAATTGAAAACTGCTTTTATTCAAGCCAAAATAAATCAAATAAGACTTTCTCTAGAAGAAAAAATATTATCAGAAATACTGTGAAAATTTCCTTGCACATAACTTGGGAAATATATAAAAAAAAAACTTCACTTAATATTTTTAAAATAATGTAAGTTGAGATGACTTGAACATTTCATCTGATTCAACTAAACAATTAAACGCAGTACAATTTTTTTTTTATCTCAGTGTGTTTTTGTACACAACAATCAATACATTATCCAAATGATTTTTAAGAATGAAAAAGATAGGATCAGAATCCTCAACTCAACATATTCTCATATAAGTGAAACACAAACAAATGCAATAGTCTCTTCTCAACAGCAGGAGGGTTACAAAAACCCAATGAAACAATGCAATGAAACATCGTCTACATTACGACCTCTGAAAGCTCTCTTGCTGGAGTTAGTCGATACTGTACAAGGGGAAAAAAGTAGCTTTGTACACCCACCGGGAAGGACTGTGAGAAATAATTAACCCTGCATCATGTGTTCAGGGTTGCTAATTTTAGGCCGTAAAACGTCTTGGTGTCGTAACTCCTGCCCGGAAGGTGCCAGGAAAGTTTCCATCCAGCATTTCGAGGCACCCAGCTGTGCTGAGAATTAATGCAGAGCCAAATTAATATTGTTACAAAAGCTTGACGATCTATAAGCTGAAAAATAAGCGAACTCGGATTATTTATCATGACTGTGTGTTATAAAAAAAACACCTGTTTTGGGTGTTCATTTAAAATGCACTAGAATTTGTCAAGTTAAAAAAAAAGACTTTTTTTATATACAGTAGTAATAATTTGTGTATGAATCCGTCTGGACATAATACAATTGCCATGGGTGACCAGACCCAACACTCAAATAAATTATGCATGCTGCTTGTTCAAACAGCTAATTTAAATGAGCTGAAACAACACAATACTTTATCTTTTTGTATTTCAGCTATATTATATTTTCCTGTATTTCCTCTATTGAAAATACTCTTAATTACTAAATGCTATATAACATTTTAAATAAGTCGTTTGAACAAGTAGCATGCACTCAACGAAAGTCAATCATGTTTCTAAATGATGTTGGGTTGTCTCAATTCAATTTTGGGTAAAATATCATCAAACCCAGCTTTTGTGATAAATAAACAAAAAAAAAAACAAAATAACCCAACAATTAGACTTGTCTATATTTGATTCAAACTTCCACACTCAAAAAAAAAAAAAAATTGCTGCTTGATTAAACTACTTATTTACAATGAGTTGAAACAGCACAATTCTTAAGTTTTTTCTGAGGACAACTTAATAGTTTTATGATCAATCCATTTAAATTTGTAAAAACTCTAAGGTTAACTTAATTGATTTGTGTTGGGATGACATGAAGGAGTTGTGTGGAACCAAGCATATTTTACAGTGTAGTGTTATTTTGAAGGACACTGCACTGCATACATCTCATGCTATTGCTGAACATTCAAACACAAAGTTTACAAAACTGCTGGTAAACTAACAAATAACATGTTACATTTACCTCGGGAAAGCCATTCAGAATCCAAAATATATATGAGCGGTTCAATGCAATTGTCAACCTTGCCATGAAAAAAAACTAGGTTTTTAGTAAAATACGGAAAACGTTTCTGGGTTTATTTGGTAAGCAAGTATTGTACAGTACTTTAGAAATACTCAAAAACGCATCTGTCAATGTTTTCAAACTATTATATTTGGTTTACCAAAATCACACAAGTGGCAATTTTACACCTGTCACATCCATAACGGAGAGATGTCACATCCATATTGGCACTTTTTCCCTTATAAATGTGAAAATATTAAATAAAATAAAACCAATCATTTTTGTTTTATAGCAATTTAAGTCTTCTCCTTTTGATTATCATCGTTTCTTTTGGGTTGTGCAGATTAATTCACAGAATTTCTACAAAGTATGTTGTACACTGCAAACTTGCAGACTTTTTTTTTGTCACATCCATAACTCCTGTTTATTTTCCTCATTTCAAGTACAAAACATGTTTACAGATTGAAATTTTTCTGGTCCCATAACTCTGTGATCAGTTGTTCTGCAAAATATAAACAGATGTTTCAATATAATGTTAACATATACTTACTATACGAATTTATGTTTTGAGTTTTTACAGCAATTGTCACATCCATAATGCTATATACAGTATATATATATATATATATATATATATATATATATATATATATATATATATATATATATATATATATATATATATATATATATATTTTTTTTTTTTTTTTGCTTTACTTGCTTTTAAGTTCAGCTTTACTCTTATTGTAAAAAGAGTTTAGTTGACTTTACTTCCTTTAAAAGTAAGTAATCCATTGCGTTTAACACAGTTAGTTAAATTGACTAAAGAAGTGAGTAAACTTGTGCATAGTTATAAAAAAGTTAAGTCAACTTAACAGTTACAAGTTACAGATAGGGGGCGGCAAGGTGGCT